TCTCAAAAAAAAAAAAAAAAAAGTGATTCTTTGAGTAAATACATTTTCCAGTCCCTCTAAGTCTCCAGGAGATTACATGAGGATGCTTTAAGTTAAAACAGCAGCATAGAGTAGTGGAAACAGCACAGATATGAACTAAGAAGACTCACTTGCTCCACCAATTACTTAGGTGTACAACCCTAAGCAGGTCACCTAAACTTCAAATTGCTCATCTTAAGATGTTCTGACTTTATCACAGGCTTGTTGAGATCAAATGAGAGAATGTATGAGAAAATGTATATAAACCAATAAAACACTATATGAATGTTCAAGGGCCATGTCTTATTCATGTTTATATCCCCGATGCCTAGCAAAATGCATGGCAGAGGTTATAATCTAAAAGAAGGCCATGGGAGGGGTTGGCAGGGCGAAGATTCAATGAAAATGGGGAGGAGTTTAAAAGAATTAACAAACTTGGCCAGGTGCGGTGGCTCACACTTGTAGTCCCAGCACTTTGGGAGGCCAAGGCAGGCAGACCACTTGAGGTCAGGAGTTCAAGACCGGCCTGGCCAACATGGTGAAACCTCATCTCTACTAAAAATGCAGAAATTAGCCAGGGATGGTGGTGCATGCCTGTAATCCCAGCTACTGGGGAGGGTGAGGTAGGAGAATTGCTTGAACCTGAAAGGCAGAGATTGCAGGAGCCAAGATGGCACCACTGCACTCCAGTCTGCGCGACAGAGAGAAACTCCATCTAAAATAATAATAATAATAATAAAAGAATAAGAAACTCAAATGCCCATCAACTAAAGCAATGGATATCAACATAGTATATCCATACAGTGGAATAATATTTGGCAATAAAAAGGAATGAAATACTGATACATGCTACATGGATGAGCCTTGAAACATAAGCTAAGTGAAAGAAGTCAGACATAAAAGACCATATGCTGTATGAAATGCCCACAACAGGCATTTGGAATTATCAACATCTCTACAAGATGTTAGGTACATTAGTGGCTGCCTGGAGGTGGGGGTATGGGGAGTGACTGCTGATGGGTACAAGGCTCCTTTTTGAAATGCTATCCTAAAAATGACTGTGGTGATGGTTGCACAACTTTGTGAATACACTAAAAACCGCTGACTTGTATACTTTAAATGTGTGAATGAAATGGTACGTGAATTATATTTCAAGACAGCTTTTTTTTTTTTTTTAAGAGTAATAAGTTTAAGGAGAGAAGCATTAAAGTATAGAATCACCAGCTTTGGAACATAAGTTTGTTTCTTTTTAAAAGGAAATACTACGAATTACCATACCAGATCCTAATGTCTCTACAAATCCTGTGAAAAACATATCTGGCATCTATTCTTACCCTTCCTTTCAAATTTCTCTCTAAGGTTACAAATCATCTCCTCTGGTTTCATTCAATTGTCTTTTCATTGTAGCCACTGCTTCTGAACTTCTACTCTGCATTTGAAACTGTCAAACCCCGCCCTTGCAGAAAATCTTCCTTGGCTTCTGTGAAACTGATGCACTTTCTGGTTCTTCTCAGAATGCTATCAGCCTATTACAGGACCCAAAATTCCAAACCTCAAAGCTCTTTTTTCATTATACTACTATCCTCCCAACACACATCTACTGATGTGTTTTACCACCATCTATATTCCTGGTCAATGCAAAATCTACCTTTCATCTAATTGTTCATTGTATATGGAAATAATTACATGCATAAAGTTAAGTAAGTTGCCCAAAGTCCCTTCTGATTTTAATACCTTATTATGAAGATTTAATGAATTAAACACATTTAAGGCGCTTAGAACTACATCTGCCATACAGTAAGTAAACGTTAGCTATTATTTTTTTCCTACAACCACTATCTTATAACACACCCTCATCATCTTATTCCTAAAATTCTCCATGAGCATTCTAATCAGTCTCTCCACTCTCAGGACACTCAACTGATACAAAAACCTTCCTCAGGAACAAGATGCATCATCTTACTCTCATTCTTTAGAATCCATTGTGGTACCCTATCAAACTAAACCCTCTATCCTTGAAAGATCCTCCACCAATACCCCCCTCACCAATCCTAAACTCATTTATTATTATTCACCAACACAGACAATCTGACAGTCAAGTTCCTTGATATCATTTGTACATTGCCACTTCTCTCGCTTTGCACAGGCCCCTTCGCTCTCCTGAAATACATCTCTTCCCCTTTGGAAATTTGTATCTTTCTCAAATGTCACTTACACTTTTGACTTTGGTTGTACTGTTATCCCAAGGAGAAGTCCAATGCAAAGTCCAATGCAGTTTGGTAATTCTGAATGATGTACATGTTTCCCCAACAGAAAAAAACAACTCCGTTCTTTCGACATAAGTTGAAGCTTTCCAAGAGACCGCATATCTTATTTGTCTCTTCATACAGACTACTTCACACATAGATAACACGGAACTTTACAGAAGTACACAAATGCTGACTTACCAAAAAAAAAAAGCCTCTGTATGTATCAGAACAACATTCTCTATTTTCCACTGCCCCACCCATACTTAGCATAATGAAAGCAGACAGAATCTAAAATCTATATTTAAATATTTTCATTCTACATAGAACGAAAGGGAATATACGAACTGTACCAGATAAAAGGGGAAAAAAGTCAAAAATATACTCAAAGAATGTACAATGTGAAAAGCAAAGTGAGAATTCAGGACACTTTGGAATCTAGTAAGTGACTTCGAAACATTAAGATTTTCTATTTTACCCAAACTAATGAACAAAGAAGAGCCAAAATAAACAAGTTCTAGCCTCATCCAAAAAAAAATCTAACGAAAGCATGAGAAACTTCCCAGCTTCGTCCTCAGCAGCACAAAATCAAGAAGATTCACCTCAATTCTGAGACACAAAAGCAAAAAGAGAAATCCTCCTATTTAAGAAACTAAAACATTTAATCACATCTATATAATATATGTCACTCCGAAAAAGAGAGAGGAGTTACTGCTTTTCTATAAATATTTGCTAGGGACCAGGGGGAATAGGTTTCTCTCACTGTTACTGCGGGAACAATCTGTGGTCTCAAAAGAGCCAAACAGAAGATGAAAACCCTAATCTGGAAGAGACCTTAAGAAAAAAACTACTCAAAACATGTTTCAAACCAGTTTCAAAAAAGAGAGTGCAATGGGTACTCAACAGAGTAAGGGGAAAAGTGAAGTAAAAGAGCTTGTACAAAATAAGTGACTAGGTGAAACTAGTGCTGCCTTGTGAGAAAAAGAGCTATGCATATAACGCTCCTATGACATCACGCTTTTTCACTGGGAAACAAAACTGAGGAAAACAAACACAAATAAATCTCAGAAAAAGACCAAAAAGGTGCCCACCAATCTCTAACTCCTTCAGGAATTAGAGTGAATGGCTCTAACTCACTCAGGAATCCAACTAGGGACAACACAAACGTGGAATGCACCAACACGGAATAGTAAAACCTTCGCTCACCAGACACACAAAAGGTAAAATCGAGAAATGAAAACTATATACCTGAATTCATCCGTAGCAAGCGCTTATTCTCTATGATTAACCAACAGAGGAAAGAATAAGAGCAGCTAATGGAAGAGGAGAAAAGATGTTAATGAAACTAAGCCCTGTTATGTCCCCTACTGGCCTCAATTTCAGAGTACAACTCTTGATTCTTCATCTAACCAACAGTCGGCCTCGGCAAAGCAAACTGATCCTAACACCTTCCATGCCACCGGGAGGAAATCACAGAGGAAAAACCACCCCGTTAACCTCCCTCCTCACCAGCTGCAAAAATGGAGCTGGGAGGGGGGGCGGGAGACACTCTACCACGTGGGCAGGATGCAACACACACAGGACAGCAACACGTCCGCATGGAACGTCTGCCTTTGCCCTAATCCCAGCAAAGGACACAGACACAGGATGGGCGGGAACGCAGGCACCCTCGCAAAGGCCTCCTCACCCCAAAGGGCCACCCCGAGGCGTGAGTTACAGCCCGCCCGGCCGGCAGAAAAGCGCCCCCAAGCTTGAAGGGAAGAAGCCGCAGACTGCCGGGGCCGGGGGCTAGCCCCGGCCAGGGGACAGGTCATGGATGGAAGGAGACGGTAGCTGCCCTCGGACTAGGCGCCCCCGGGATCCACGGCTGGTTCCCCGGGGCCCCGCCTGGGGGAGGGGCGGGAAACGCGGAGCCGCTGCTTCCCGGCTGAGGGGCAGCAGCAGCTGAAGAGAAGCGCCGCGGGGGAGGGAGGGACCCAGCCCTCAGCGCCCGCCGGGCCCCAGCCCGGACCCAGGCCCCCTGCCCCGCCCGCCGCCCACCCCACAGCGCGGCTGCGACTAGAAGAGAGAGGGCGTCTCGCGGAGGGCAGCCCCTGCCTCCGATCTGGGAGATGCCCCAGCCCCGCCTCCTCGCCCGCCGCCCAGGCCCGGCCGCCCCGGCGGCGGGCACTTACCTCAGGCTGCGCAGGCCGGGACGGCCCGGCCGAGCCCCCGGCCGCTGCGTGCGTCTCCGCCCCCCGGGAAAGGTCCCAACGGTGCCTAGTGCGAGCGGCCGAGGCCCCGAGCAGCGCCGAGAGCGGCGGCGGCAGCAGGAGCAGCCAACATCCGGGGCCGCGCACCCGGAACTACTTCCCGACCCACATCCCCCCTCCCGCCCTCGCGCCACCTCCTCCTGCGACGTCGCAGCACCGCCTGCCCGGCGTCGGCGGCGTCAAGTCCCTGCGCGTCCTCGGCCGCTTCGACGCACGCGGGATCCCTCCGCTGGGACAAGTAGTGCCCTGAGACTGCCGGGGCCTCGGCTCCGCGGGTGTCATCTGGCGGCCTGCAGTTCCAAGCGACTTGGGGTCCTTGTGCCTTGGAGTGGCGTCTGGGGAGCAAGGGCAGCGGAAGCAACCCCGCAGTTGAGGACAGTAGGTATCGGTGGCTTTGGACCCTGCCCGCGGAGACCTGGGGCCCCATGCCCCGAAGAAATGGTGCCACCTGTCCTCCCCCGCCCCCCCACCTCCGCCACCTCACCGAAGCGCCCGGCACCTTAGCCTCCTCTCCAGGAAACCGGACCCCTTTTCTGGCACACCGTGGATTCCGGGACCCCCAACAAAGGCTCCTTGGACCTTCAGGACACCCCTCCTTTCAGAACTTCTTGAGCCCCAGGTGCTAGACTCGTGTCTGCGGAGGCCTTTCCCGTGCCTGGTCTTACTTTCTTTCTTAAAGGAGTTGGAACTCTAAAGGCCCTTCTGACTCTCAAGGTAGCTACCCAGGTTATGGTCCTACTATCAGTAGGTGGAGCGTTTAGAAGGGTAGTTTGGTCGACTAGTGAACTTTGGAATTTACTTCTACGTCAGTCTTCACTGATTTTTTCTCTAAACTATTAGCACTGATAGACTGCCCTATAATTTCACACTTAATTACATTCCAGTGTAGTATTTGCTGTTGCTTCATTCGCGTTAGTCATATATTCCCCTGCAGCACCAAACACGCTTTTGAACTCACATTGGGTGGCTCAATATTTGGAGACTTAGATATTTGTTAGATGAATACTGGGCTGATTGGATGAGAGGAAAAGGAGAGGCATGAGTGAATTGGCCCTGGGTACTTTTTGACATAGCCTCAAAGGGTTCAGATAAACTCCAGCAGATCTGAGCACACAATTCCTTCAGTAAATATTGAACACTTGCCATTTGGTCAAGCATTTCTAGGCACTAGAGATTCAAAGTACTCACACATTCCTTTTGTTTATAAGACTAGTAAGATTCTGAAGGTTCATGTACTCATTTACTCAACAAATATTTGCCAATCACTACTAAGGTTACCAGACACCATTTTAGTGCTTGGGATGTATCAGTAAACAGAAGAGAGAGAGAAAACAAGTACCCTTCCCTCTTGGAGCTTTCATTCTAATATAGGGAGAAAGATGATAAACGTAAGAAAATTATGTAATATGTTAGAAGGCATTGGGTGCTATGGGGAAAAAAAAATACACCAGGATAAGGGGTATGAAGAAAACTGGAGGAAGGGGGTGTGCAATTTTTTTTTTCTTTTTTTCAGAGGGAATCCTGCTCCCTCGCCCAGGCTGGAGGGCAGTGGCACGATCTCGGCTCACTGCAAACCCCGGGTTCAAGTGATTCTCCTGCCTCAGCCTCCTTAGTAGCTGGATCACAGACGCGCGCTACCACGCCCAGCTAATTTTTGTATTTTTAGTAGAGGTGGGGTTTCAACATGTTGGCCAGGCTGGTCGCGGAACTCCCGAACTCAAGTGATCCGCCCTCCTCGGCCTCCCAAAGTGCTGGGATTACAAGCGTGAGCCACCGCGCTTGGCCTGCAATTTTGAATAGAGCCGTCAGCATGGGCCTCATTTATAAAATGACTTTAAATCGGAGACCTGAAAGAGCTGAGGGAGTCAGCCATGCAGTTGACTGGGGAAGAGTGTCCTTGGTGAACGGCCCTGAGACAAAAGCCTCGGGAAGTGTTAGAAAGAATGAGGAGGCCAGGACGGTTAGAGCAGTGAGCAAATGGGAGCGGAATGAGGAGATAAGATCAGAGAGGGATCTCAAGTAGGGAGCTGTAAGAATCTTGGCTGAAACAGAACCACTGCTGGGCTTTGAACAGAGGAGTGATAGGATCTGACTTGCGCTTTCAAAACATCACTCTGGTCAGATCACTGTGGCCGCCGTGCTAAGAGCAGACCTAAGAGGACAATGGTGGAAGCCAGAGGCTCCATTACCCAGGTACAGAATGATGGCTCGAACCAGATGGTAGCAATGAATAAGATGGATAAGATGCAGTCTCAGCCGGGCACAGTGGCATTTGACTGTAATCCCAGTTATTCAGGAGGCTGAGGCAGGAGGATAGGAGCACTTGAGCCCAGGAGTTCAAGTGCAGCCTGGGCAACACAGCAAGCCCCCATCTCTAAACAATAAGCGTACAGTCTGTCTACAGTCTCCCAACACTTTGGGAGGCAGAGGCGGGAGGATTGCTTGAGCACAAGAGTTCAAGAACAGCCTAGGCAACGTGGGGAGACTCTGTCTCTACAAAAATAAAAAAAATTAGCCAGCAGGGTAGTGTGCACCCATGGTCCCAGCTATGTGGGAGGCTGAGATGGGAGGATCCCTTGGGCCCAAGAGGTCAAGGCTGCAGTGAGTTGTGATTGCGCCACTGCACTCCAGCCTGGGTAACAGAGCGAGACGCTGTCTTTAAAAAAAGAGAGAGAGAGTAGACTTAGCTCCAAGTCTGGAGCTTTTGTTTATTTTTTTCTTTATAAAAATTTTTTAACTTTATAGAAATGGGATCTCACTATGTTGCTCAGACTTGTGTTGAACTCCTGTTTAGCACCATCTCTTACAAGTGTTAGGCAGCTCTGCTCCTCTCACTTGTCTGGGATTCTGAGGTTCTTCCCTAAAGTGCTCATCCTGAGCTAATGGGGGATAGGGCTGGAGAGAGAACAGAGGTGGTTAGCTGCCAGAATGAGGTGGGAAGATGGGGATCAGCAGCCTTTGTGAAGAAAAGAAGTATGAGTCCCAGGGTGTTAAAAGGTGGATGGGCAATAAAATCTATTACATACGGGATTCATGCTAAATGAGTAGATTTTAGCTTCTCTTGCCACAATAAAAAAAAATGGATAACTGTGTGAGATGATGGCTCTGTTAATTTGCTTCACTATAGTGACCTTTTGACTATCCCATAACATCATGTGGTATACTTTAAATATGTACAACATGTGTTTAATTTTTTTTTTTTTTTTTTTTTTTGAGATGGAGTCTCGCTCAGTCGCCCAGGCTGGAGTGCAGTGGCGCGATCTCGGCTCACTGCAAGCTCCGCCTCCCGGGTTCACGCCATTCTCCTGCCTCGGCCTCCCGAGTAGCTGGAACCACAGGCGCCCACCACTAAGCCCGGCTAATTTTTTTGTATTTTCAGTAGAGACAGGGTTTCACCGTGTTAGCCAGGATGATCTCGATCTCCTGACCTCGTGATCCGCCTGTCTTGGCCTCCCAAAGTGCTGGGATTACAGGCGTGAGCCACCGTGCCCAGCCTAAATTTTTTTAAGATTAAAAAAAGGGTGGAGGAGTATCCCTCCTCAAAAAAAAAAAAAAAAGAATAAAGCAGGCTGGGCACGGTGGCTAATGCCTGTAATCCCAGCACTTTGGGAGGCCAATGTGGGAGGATCACTTTAGCTCATGAGGTTGAGACCAACCTGGGCAACAAAATGACACCCTGACTCCAAGAAAAATAAAAAAACTAGAATGGTTATAGCAGCCCGGGGAATTCTGGAACATTGTGAGGAAGAAAAGCTTAAAGCCTAGATTGAGAAGGCAGACCTAGATTCAAGTCTAATATTCCATAGCTTGCTTACTTTGTGCCTACATCCAGTTATTTGGTTTCTCTTAGCCTCTGTTTCCCTGCCTATAATAAGGAAACAATAATCATAGCTACCTAGCAAAAGAGACCATGCACAGGCTGCCAAAAATAAAGGTCCCCGAGACAGCTGTTGTTATTATTCATAAGATCCCAGTGTCAGCACAGAAAAGAGTATAGTAGTTCACTGTCTTGCTAGATGGGAGTGGACTAGAAGGGAGGGTGCAGAGCAGGAGAGCCTTCAAAGAGGAGATATTATCCAGCTCAAGGGACAGACCCTTAAAAGACACAGATTGCCCAGGGGAATAAAGTAGTGGTTTTATTGTTTTGTATTGTTTGCAATCTTTTCCTAGCTTCATCTGAATTCTGAATTTTCTGAAAGGAACACAGCCGAGAGCTGGGCTGCAATAGCCCTACAAAAACCTTGATTGGACACTGGCAGTGCTTCAACAGCAGAGTGTTCAACACTTCACATGACCCAGACACTTAGATAAATGAGCCTTTACCTGCTCCTTTTCTCCCTCTGTATTTATTGTAAGAGGAAATTAGAAAATGAGAAATGAATTTAAAATGAGCCAAGACTTGCAAGAGGGAGAGAAAAACACGAGAGAGCCCCTCCTATTATTCCTAGCCCGGGAAAAGCCTTCCGGATTCCCTGGGTATCTCTATGTAATATTTTATAATTCTTGAATTAGGTTTTTTGAAAGGCTATACATAGGCCATCTGAAAAGTCTCGGCACTACTGACTGCTATTTAAGGAAAATGCTTGGGCGTTGGTCACTATGCACACTTACATAGCATTCAATAATCATTTAGCAAGCGCCTACTCTATACCAGGTGTTGTACTAAATATCAAGGAGTCAAAAGAGAATAAAAGAGAAGCAGACATGTAAACAGTTAATCCCAATGCAGTTTGGTAGAAATTTATACTTGTGCCATGGAAACAGAAAAGAAGCAAGGCTTAATTCTGTCAAATTGGATGAGGTGGAGGGTGAGGCACAGTCACTGGGGCCAAACAAAGCTTCACCCTTAAAAGGTAAAGTTAAGGCTAAATTTTAATAAACGAGTAGGAATTTGCCATGCAGAGACAGAAGCAAGACTGGGAGTAGAGAAAAACAATTACGGGCAGAGAACAACTTGTGCAAAGTCAGAGGTTGGGTAGATAAAAGTAGAGCCCACAGAAGTGATAGTCTTATAAGTAGTCATTAAATATTAGTGCCTGATGGGAATAACTAACTCATGCAGCTAGACCACATCACTCTATGTAAACCATCATTGAGTTCCTGTCCTCTGGTAGCTTGGTGTTGACTTCAGATTGTATCAGTAAGGCAAAATGTGATCCTTCCCAAAGACTCCACTACTTAATCATTATTAGTAGAAAGGAGCAGCTTAGATTATTTTTTCCCGATAGAAGGCATTAGCCTAAAATACATTTTTTTTCCTAGGCTGTCAATGAATTTGCACTAGTGCATTCATAGCAAGCTGCCATCCCCCACCTGCAACCCATCTCCATGTTCCTTGTAACCACCTGGTTCAAACCTTGGTTTACCTCCACTCTTAGAATCAGCCAAGCTAATTAAAAGCACAGTGAAAGACACAAAGGCACCAAGACAGCTGAGCAAACATTAACAAATGCGTAGAGTAAATAAAGTACTTGTATTATGTGTAAGCAATGGTGCAGATGAAACTTGGGTGGCACTAGGAAGGGTGAGTCAGAGGATGTTCAAACATAGTAGGATCAAGGGAAATCTCTCTGCCAGTTAGTTAGCAATATATTTTGGGTTGATAGAAAGGAACCTGGTTAGCAGGAAAAAGTAGCCAAGGTTTGCAGCCCCAAGGAACCTGAAACTCTGGTACAAATTTGGTAGTAAGAAACAAGTGTTTAAAGTTGTAAAGATACTGGCTTCCT